TGGGCATGGTGGCGCACACTTGTAATCTCAGTGGCTCAGGAGGCTGAGGCAAGGGGATCACAAGTTCAAAGCCAGCCTCAGCTCAGCAGTTTAACAAGGCCCTAAGCAACTCAGTGAGACCCTGTCTCTAAATAAAATATTAAAAGGGTCTGGGGATATGGCTCAGTGGTTACATGCCCCTGGGTTCAATCCCTGATATAAAAAAAAAGAATGTGCCACGAAATATTTGGGACTAAATTATACTAAAGTGTTATTCCTGTTAATCTGAAATTCTAGTTTAACTGTGTATCTTGGATTGTATCTGGCATCCTTACTCCCAGAACCTCCCCTTCCCCATGCATAAGGAACCTCTCTACCCCTCTTGCATCTATGTGAGCTCTTCACCCCTGGTCCTTATCCTGTCTCTCCCACTTCTGCAGGGATGTAGCACGGGGCTACGAGAATGTGCCCATTCCCTGTGTTAATGGTGTGGATGGGGAGCCCTGCCCTGAGGATTATAAGTACATCTCAGAGAACTGTGAGACATCTACCATGAACATTGACCGCAACATAACCCATCTACAGGTAAGTGAGAGCCCACAGAGCCACCAGAGCCACCAAGTACAGTTGGGCAAGTAGGGTGCTTTTCTAGGTTACATGAACGTATCATAAATAGGAGTTCATGGTGACCTTGGGGACACCCCTATCAGTAATATCTTAATTTCCTCTCAACCTGAGACCATCACCAACCATTGTCCTAAAACATGGGGTCCCAGAGAAAGAACAGTGCTGGGGTGCAGACAGCACTGGGAGCTGGGCCATTGCCGATCCAGGGTTAAGTTGACCTTCTGCCTCCCACCCCAGCACTGCACGTGTGTGGATGACTGCTCCAGTTCTAACTGCCTGTGCGGCCAGCTCAGCATCCGCTGCTGGTATGACAAGGTACATACCCCTCACCTGGACCCAGACGCTCTGCCATTGTTCCAGAGGAGCTGGCTGATAGCACCAATTCCCTGGGATCTTGTTCTTCACCTACCCTGTCAGGGAAGTGACAGAGAGGGCAGGGCAAGGCTGAGGATTCCTGGGACACTTCCAGGGCAGATCTGGGCCTCTACCTAGGTATATGCAAATCAAGGGTGATGCCTGTGTTTCCTGGTCTCTGACCTCAGCAATGCTGCAGCCTGCTCGACACCTCCCTGCCTCTGGGTTGAGATCAGCAGTGGGTTTTTCTATGTAGTGTTTGTTGGGGGTCTTGGGCAGCTAAGATGGGTCCCACACAAAAACCACTGTTCTCGCCTCGGGTCTACTCCCCAGGATGGGCGGTTGCTCCAGGAATTTAACAAGATCGAGCCCCCCCTGATCTTTGAGTGTAACCAAGCCTGCTCCTGCTGGAGAAACTGCAAGAACCGAGTGGTGCAGAGCGGCATCAAGTAATACCCCTGCAGCCCCCATCACCCGGTCTCACCTACCACTCACTGCCCCATCTCCTCTCCTGGGGCTTTTCCAGGTCCTTGCACCTAGTATCTCCCTCTCTCCCACCCCTAGGGTACGACTGCAGCTCTACCGAACAGCCAAGATGGGCTGGGGTGTTCGCGCCCTGCAGACCATCCCCCAGGGGACCTTTATCTGCGAGTGAGTCAGCTGGGGGTACCTTGGCACCTGTGGGGCACAGTCACTTGTGACTCCAAGCCTCCCTCTGCCCTCCTCCCTGATGGATCACATCTCTTCTGCCCACTTCAGCCAGCCATCTTTGACCTCCACCCCACAGCTAAGGACGGAGCCTATCTCCACTCTGCCCACACTGCAGGGCCATCCATCCCTACTGTCCTGTTTTCCCTTCCCTCCACCTCAGTGTATTTCCAGACCTCACACATCTTCTCCCTGCCCTGCCTCTGTATGTCCTTGGGCAAGTTGCTTAATCTCTCTGAGCTTTAATTTTCTTGTCTGTAAAATGGAAGTGATAACAGCAGCCTGCCACCTACTTAAGGGCCTGTTTATCTCCATGACTTCTTTCTCTGCCTTCTACCAGCTGGCTCCCTATACCCTGGCCCTCAAACTTATTCCTTTGGCCTGGTAGGGGGAACCCTTGTTTGCCTATTCAAGGGACCATTGAGCTTCTCTCCATTATGTCTTCTGTCAAATTCTCAAACAAGTAGCCCCTTCCCCTTCCTCCTGGACCATCCTCCCCCACCATCTGCTCACTGCCTGTCCCTGCCAAAATCTGCTCTTGCCCTCACCTTCTGCTGCAGCCGAAGCCACCTCACAGTCATTCTGCTGCACTCCTACCCCCAATATGTGTCCCAGTCCTTGTTCTGGCATTTGCCCATTCCTATTAGACTACCTGATCCCATGATGCTGCCCTCACCTCTGCCCAGCCCATCCAAAATTGCTATCTACTAGTTTCTCCTGCTGTCCAAATGTGGGCATTCTCACCCCCAAGCCACTCCCAAAGTTCCTCATTGCTTCTTCTCTTCCTGCAGCCCAGTCCCTCTTCTGTCACACAGCCCTGCATCGCCCACCACCTGCCCTGTGGTTCTAGGACACAAACCTCCCAGTGTCTAAACCCAGACAAACTTCCCCATCTGAGCCTGCTGTCCCTGGGTGCTAATGCCCTTAGCCACAGAGGCCCAGCTCTGTCTCCACACTCTCTAGGCTCTAGCCCTTTTCTCTCACCTCCCACCACTGTTTCTCCAGGTCTTCTGGGGCCCACAGGCTTCTGGGATTTCCCTCCTACCTGCCTATTGTTCCAGCTCTCCAGTGGGGACCCCAACTGGCAGAATTGTATCTTGGGTTGTGCCTTCACATGCCTATCTATATCCCCCTTCCTCTTCTTAACACCCACCCCAGAGCCGGGGACTGCCCACCACCTGTCCCAGGCAATGTGTGCTTCTCTGTGTACCTGCTGTGCCTTGGGTCACCCACCACAGCCCCAGCGGTGTTGATCTGTGAGGTCCAAAGATAGTAATGGGGTATCTGAGGAATGAAAGAAGAGGATTCTGTGAGGTTGTAAGGAGAGACTGCCCTGCTCACCTTTAGAACCACTGTTTCCTGTGCAACAGGTATGTTGGGGAACTGATCTCTGACGCTGAGGCTGATGTGAGAGAGGATGATTCTTACCTCTTCGATTTAGACAACAAGGTAGGCAGGCAGCTTCTAAAAGCCCTGCTCCTAGTGGCTAGGTTTCTGGAGCCCCCTAGGAAAGGGAAACCTGGGAAGGAAGGACTGAATGGTCAATGCAGAGGGGATGACCAGGCAGGCAAGGTGGGGATGGATATGAAGAGTGATGTCCTTCCCCTCAGGATGGAGAGGTATACTGCATTGATGCCCGTTACTATGGCAACATCAGCCGCTTTATCAACCACCTATGTGACCCCAACATCATCCCTGTCCGGGTCTTCATGCTGCACCAAGACCTGCGATTCCCACGCATCGCCTTCTTCAGTTCCCGAGACATCCGGACCGGGGAAGAGCTAGGGTGAGGCATCTCTGGGYTCTGCTAGGAATGTTGGGGATCAGGCAGGGATTGAAGGGAGCTTCTTAGACTTTATCATACAAAGTGTCCCCTAGAGAGCTTGCTTGTGGTTTTTTTTTGTTTGTTTGGTACCAGGGATTGAACCCTGAGCTTAACCTCTGAGCCACATCCCCAGCCCTTATTTTATTTTTTATTTTTGAGATGGGGTCTCACTAAGTTGCTTAGGGCCTTGCTGAATTGCTTTGAACTTTCAATCCTCCTGCTTCAGTCTCCTGAGCTGCTAGGATTATAGGTGTGCTCCACTGTGCCTGGCACTGGGGGGCTTGTTAAAACTGTCCTGAGCATCAGCAAGATTCTGATTCACTAGATTTGGGAGGGGCCCCAGGAGCCTACATTTCTAACCAGTTCCAAGGCAGTGCTGAAGCTGCAAGTCCATAGAACTTAAAAAGATTTAGAATGTATCTGGCAAAATGGGGCTGGGGATCTGAATCCTTCATGGGAAGTGGCATCCTCAGAGTCTTTAGAGTAAGGCTCTGGGTGCCCGAGTCCAGATTATACAAGCATCTGTGCTCCTCTGACAGGTTTGATTACGGTGACCGCTTCTGGGACATCAAAAGCAAATATTTCACCTGCCAGTGTGGCTCTGAGAAGTGTAAGCACTCAGCCGAGGCCATCGCCCTAGAGCAGAGCCGCCTGGCCCGCCTGGATCCCCACCCTGAGCTGCTGCCCGAGCTTGGCTCCCTGCCCCCTGTCAACTCCTGAAAATGGACCACACCCTTGTCTCTCCCCTGCCCCAATTGCCATCAGCTCAGCAGCTGCTTCTGCCACCTGCTGCTCACAGCCCAAACCTGGGGCACTGCCACCTTTCCTGCCCACTCCCCTTCACACATTCCTCAACCAGAGACTCCAGCCAGGCCCTGGAGGTCTGATGGCCCCTCTCCCAGAGCTGGTTCCTCCCTGGGAGCATGACTTCAGGGCTGGGCACCCCCATCTCCCATCCTCAGCTGAAGTTTGATGAATTGAAATCTGGCCTCTATGCCAACTGGGTTTTTTGTTGTTCTCAATAAACTTTGGGTTTGGTAATAAACTGGGTGATTGTTGTAAGGATCTGAAGCACTCAGCCAGAAGGATGGTGGGTCCAAGGGGCAGAGCAGGGTGAGAAGCAAGCTAGGCAGCAGGAGGGGAGGGGGGGACTGGAGGAACAACTGGTCTAGTCAAGGACTTAAATAAAGACAATTCTTAACATTTAATCCTTAGGAGGGTGTCGGCCCAGGTATACCCCAGTTATGGTACTGCAAAATTTCTTATTGGCGCGTGCCAGTTCCTTCCCACTCTTGTCTTTGACACTGAGCAAGCAGCCTCTGATCCTCTGGTTCCAGGCTCAAGCGTCCTGGCCCCACTGGTCACAGAATTGTGGATTCCAAAGGAGGAACTAGAGTGTGTCGGGGACCACAGCCGGGGGTGGAGCTGTGACGTGTGGGAAGGCGGGGCTGGCGGCAGGTGAGACAGCCTGGTCTCCTGGGCTGCAATCACTCCGGGAGACTGAGCCATGGGAGGAAAGCAGGATGAGGACGAGGCCTATGGTGAGACTGAGGGGAGAAGCCGGGGCTCTGTGGAGGGAGGGAAACTGGCAGGACACAGTGGCTGAGACTGGCTCCAGGGAGAGGAACTAAGGAAAGTCCTGGGTCCCTGAGGAAAGAGCCCTGGAAACAGGAGCAGGTGGAAGGAGGTAGAATCAGGGTCCTGGGGAGAGAATAGGGCTCACAGCCTGAGGGCCATTGCTGGGGAGCATTTGTGGAGTGAAGCTGGAGGAGGTGACAGGATTTCAGGCTTGCACTCTGGGCTCTGAGGGTCGGGAAGGGATGGGCAAACAAAGCCCAGATGAAAAAGTGGCAGGGTCCGGGGTCATGAGCAGGACAACAGGGCTCGGGGTGCAGGAACTGCGATGTCGTGCTATTGAACCTGGTGGGTGAGGCTGGAGCCTCTGTGAGGAAGAGTCCAGGAGTCAGTGTGGACTCTGGGTCTCTGAAGCCGAAAGGTGCCAAGGCCTGCCAGGCAGTCTCTGTGAGGAGTGGGAGCATGTGATGTTGAGTGGGCTGGGGTCTACTTGCAGGTCTCTGCAAGGAATGGCAAGAGTTCTGCTAGGATCCCTGTGAATAGTTGGGGATAAGGGTCTTAATGGAAATGGCGCTGTGACCTGCCTTGGCGTCTCTGTTAGGAGTAAGGAGTGGGAGTCTGTCTGGAGTACTTTGAGGAGTAGGACCAGGACTTGGATTCCTGTGAAGAGTAAGGGCCAAGGGGAGAAGGAGCCAGGAGCTGGCTTCCAGAATCTGCAAGGGAAAAGGGCTAGGAGTAGGGAGGGAGCTGGGGACCAGCCTCCAGGATTCCTGTGAGCAGCAAGGGCTGTAGCCTGCCCACAGAGATCCCCTTAGGTCTGGAGGGGAGACAATCCTGAGTGAGAAGCCTGGAGAACCAGGTGTTCCCTAGAGAGGTGGGGGAAGGGGCCCAGGACACTCCCCAGAAAACTTCCTGGAGCAGCTTTGGATCAATCATTGACCTCATGCCCATAAGCCAAGGTGGGACAGAGTCCAGAGCACCTGGGCAGAGAGGATCCCACCCCTTCCCAGACTCTGGCCCAGCCTTCTGCCCTCCCTCCTGGTGCCCACAGTGAGACCCTGGCTGCCTGGCCCCACCTCCTCCCTGTGTGTACTCAGGGAGGACCAGGAACAGGACGTGGCCACAATCTCAACAGCCAGTCAGCTCAGGTGTCACCCTGACTGGCACCCAGAGCTCTGTGGTGGCTGCCTGAGAACTGAGGTCCCTTTGAAGTGGGGTCCCCTCTATAGGGGTCCTCTTTTTCCAATCCCTGGGCCCTTGCAGGGGTTGACACCCTCGGCTCAATTTTTTTTTTGTGCATGGCTTCAGGTCAGAGAGTGAAGATAGGCATTGGTTCTGGGGCAGCTGTGATAAGGGGCTGGGACACCTCCCTGAGGGGCTCTGGACCTGGGAAGTCCAAAGCAGAATGTAGAGAGAGGAGAAGGATAAGAGTGGGGACTGAGAGCCCCTGAGACAAAGTGTCCCACCTCCCACCAGCTAGAGGGAGCCTTGAGAGAAATGGGGCCAGGGGACCAAGGCTATTTCCCAGACAGGCAGCCTTGAGGTGTGAGCCTTGATCTGGAAACAGAAAGTCCCCCTCCCCACCCCTGCCTTTCATCTGGGTGGAGTTTAAGGCGAGCAGTTGAGCTGCTGACCAGGCGTGGATTCCTGGATTCTGCAGTTCCTGCTCCCTAGATTTCCCCTCCTGCCAGCCCTGCCCTGGACAGGATCCTAGGGCCAGGAGGGACTCCAGAGGAACAGACTAATGGAGAAACCCCTTCAGGGCCTCATTCTCCACACTTTTCTCCATGCCCCGCAGGGAAACCTGCCAAATATGACCCCTCCTTTCGAGGCCCCATCAAAAACAGGTGAGTTCTGGTCATTGCCCTGGGGGGCAGGGGAGTCTGGTTTTTATTTTGTATTTGCTAAAATATCAGTAAAAAAAAAAAGAAAGAAAGAAAGAAAGAAAGAAGAAGAAGAAGAAAGAAAGAAAAAATGCTACCCCAGGGTATTTGTTGTGTCTGGTCAGCAGGGAGCTTCCTGGTACTGGTGATACAGGGGTGTACATTTGGGGGAAATTCACCCAGTTGAGTACTTAGGACTTGTCCTTTTTGTGTGCAGTACTGGGGACTGAACCCAGCTCATGTTCTACCCCTGAGCTATACCCACAGCCCCTGAGTTGTGCTTTTCTCTGTCATACTTTAGAAGAAAGATACCCACAAAGAGGTTTTCTTTTAAAATAAATAAATAAATAATCTGGGCACAGTGGTGAATTCCTGTAATCCCAAGAAAGAGGCAGAAGGATTGCACATTCCGGGGCAGCCTCATCTATTCAGCCAGAGCTCATCTCATTATATAAAATAAAATGAGCCAGGGATGGAGTTCAACCGCAGAGTGCCCCTGTGTTTTTAATCACCAGTACTTCAAACAATACATGAAACCTGCTAATACCCACTCCAGCTTTTCCCAACTCACCAGCAGACCCTTGGGGACTGTCCCCTTCCCCTCACCAACTCCCTCCATTATACCTCCCCAAAGCCTCCCCAGTCAGACTGCATTTCTTTCCCAGGAGCTGCACGGATGTCATCTGCTGTGTCATCTTCTTTCTCTTTATTTTGGGTTATATCGTGGTGGGGATTGTGGGTGAGTTTCCATCTGCGCAGCGTTGGAATGGTGGGTGGGGGCGATAACCCAGAGGTAACACCCCATAGCTGCTCCCTGCAAGCTCCTGCCCTCCCATGATCCATCTGTGTATGTCTGTCTTCAGCTTGGGTGTATGGAGACCCCCGGCAAGTGCTCTATCCCAGGAACTCCACAGGTGCCTACTGCGGGTTGGGGCAGAACAAGTAAGTACAAAGATAGAAAGAGTGAAAGGAGGGAGGTAAGGTGGGAATGGGCAGGAGATGGCAACAGCCTCCCATCCCCCAGCTCAGGCATGAGAACCATCATGCTCTTCTACACTCTTCCCCTGTTGTCCCCACCCCACCCCCACCCTCTCTGAATCTGATCACACCAGAGCCCTCCCTTTGCTGGACATTTAGTTTGAGTCCCCCAGAACTGAGAGGACTTAGCCAGAACGTGGTAAATTGCATGGTTTTAGAGTTCAGAGATGGCTGTTTAGATTTGGCTTAAGTTTTGGTTGTCTATCCTTCGACAACTTACTTAACTTCTCTGAGCTTGATTTCCTCATCTGAAACACAAGGATGATTATACAAGTGATGCTGTCAGTCTCCACAGGCAGGAAATGTTTAATAAATAATCAACCCTCCAGCATTTACATAGTGTTGACTATGTTCCAGGCAGGCAGTATACTTTACACATGCTCTCTTTAACGCCTCATGATGTAGATATTATCATTTTATAGATGATAGATCTGAGTCAGAGAGATGTTTAGTGACTTGCTCAAAGTCATAAAGCTAGTAGGAAAGGATTAAGCTACAGAATTGATGCCCTAAGCCATTCCTTAGCTGTTGTGATGGGAGTTGTTCTGGGAAATCATCTAGGTGTCTCCCTTACCTCCCCAGAGGAGCTAGGACCAGGTGCTGGATGTGACTCCTCTAGGCCACAGGGGGTCCACTGTACTCTAGGGGAGTGACCTCAGTAGATCCTCCCCTCCCCTAACACCAGATGAGGCCCTGAGCCCACTCTTCCTCTCTTCCTGCAGAGATAAACCCTATGTCCTGTACTTCAACATCTTCAGCTGCATAGTGGCCAACAACATCATCACAGTCGCCCAGAAGGGACTACAGTGCCCTACGCCCCAGGTCAGAGCCCAGGGCTGCCTCTGCTTCACATGTCCCTAGGGCCCCAGGTACTAGCCCCTTAATACATTCTCTGCTCCCCAGGTATGTGTGTCCTCCTGCCCGGAGGCTGTATGGACAGTGGAAAAAGATCAGTTCTCGCTGACAGTCGGAGAGGTCTTCTATAAAGAAAAAAAGAACTTTTGTCTGCCAGGGGTGCCCGGGAATATGGTGAGTACTGCCCCCGACATCATCATTGTCACTCAGGAGGGCCCACAATAGGATGGAGTAGCAGGGGAAGTTGGGTAGACGTTCCTGGGAAGGGTGGACCGGCGGAGCCCTGTGGTAGTGGTGGTGGCAACAGTGGCAGTGGCGGTGAGGGGACCCAACTTCTCCATCCTGTTCTATGTCTGTGTGTGTGTCTGTTCTCCCTTCCCCACCCCACAGACGGTACTCCAAAGCCTGCAACAGGAATTCTGCCCCAGTTTCCTCCTGCCTTCCACTCCAGGTGAGAAACACAGTTCCCTCCTCAGGCATCATCTCCTCCAATATTTTTTTTTTTTTCTCAAATGAGGAAACCAGAGAGTAAAGAGAGTAAAGCCACACAGCTTATCAGTGGCACAAGTGGAATGAGCAACAGGTCTCCATTTCTCTCTCTGCCGAGTGACCCCACAGTCAGACCATCAGTGTTTTTCGGGCACCTTCTATGTACCAGGCACTGGGGATAAATGTGGGGAAGGTAGAAATTGCTCTGGGCCTGAGCTACACTGTAGGTGGAGAGATCAGAGATGGTCATAGAGACTGTATGAGAACCCCATGAAAACCCCATTGAAGAATCTATACATACATACTACCCCTTTGCATAGGGGAAAAGACTAGAAGGATATCTACCCAGCTGTTACAAATGAATGTGAGTGGGTGGTGGGGTTGCAATTGGCCTTTATCCTGTATGTTTTCCTTTGCAACCTCAAATACACACACACATACACACACACACACATACACGTGCGTGTGATAGGGGAGGGAGGGAGTACTGGGGCTTGAGCCCAGTGGCACTCTACCACTAAGCTACCCCCAGCCCCTTTTTAAACTACATTTTGAAACAAAGTCTCACTAAGATGCCCAGGCTGGCCTTGAACTTACAATCTTCCTGCCGCCTCAGCCTTCCCCTGTAGCTGGGATTACAGGCATGCCTCACCATGCCCAGCTCCTAATACATTTTTTTTTAATGTAAAACATTTTTTTTAATTGTAGCATGAGTAAAGATAAATAGTTTTTAATGTAAGTACAATAAGAAGTGTGTCAAAAGATTGCTCCAAAATCAGATCTGGATTTAAATTCTAGCACTTTCCCGCTGAGTGATCTGGGCTACTTAACCTCCCTGCACCTGGTTTCCTCTTCTTTGTAATGTAAATAACAGAATGCCTCTTCCTGGCAAGGTTGTAGGGCGAATTAAATGGCTCTACATGTACATAACAAGTACCACAGGAGATGGGGATGGGTGAGAAAGCTTCCTGCGGAGGTGAGACAGCAAAAGCTGTTCCAGAGGGGGGGGGGGACTTCAAAGAAGGGAGGTGTAGAGTGAGGGGACAATGGAAGGCAGGGTCCAGAAGCTGGGCCAGGGAACCTGGATGGTTTCCAGGCAGAGCCTCTGAAGGTATCTGAGAAGCCAAAGGACATAGAGCCCGGAATGATGAGGTCATGCTGTGCCCTGGTCTTCCTGGCCCACAGACAGGCAGAGGGTGTCAGGTCAAGCGAGTCGGGCAAAGGAGGCAGATTTAAAAGGGCCGCTGAACTAGGCTTTATTGAGATGTCACTCCCTGGCGGAACTCGATCAGACCCACAGAGGGGACAGGGGAAGGGTCTGAGGAGAAACTGCGTGGAAGCTCTACAGGACTGGACCTTTATGGGGCTTACAGCAGGAAGGGAAGGGCTTGGGACAGGAAAAGGTGTTTTTAGGGTCCATTGCCCCTTTGGAGTTGGTCAGAGGAGTTGGCTGAACTCCAGGATTGGCCAGGGGGTCCTGCTGATTGACAGGCATTAGTCAGGAGATCTGGCTGATTGACAGGCATTTCTGCAGGCATCTGATTGATGTTCCTTTCCCTGGTGAGCTGCTTTGTTCTAAATTGTCACCACCGACCTAACATTCCAGCCTTTTTGGTGATACAGGGTGCGAATTTCGTCTGGCTACTTCCAGCTTGTTTAGGGGCATCATGAGAGGGGAGTGGCTCAGGTGTAGGTTCCATGGGAAGGCAACTGTAGGGGTGTAGGAGCATCTGGTTGTAGGTCACGCTGGCAATTTCACTCATTCGCTTTCGAACGAACCTGAGGAGGCAGGGAGCAATCATTAATAGAAGTCCTATTACTAATATAGGAGTGAGAATGGGAGTCAATCACGCAATGAGGGTTGAGTTTAGCCAGCCTGGCCAAGGGTCATTTGATGGTTGCCATTTAAGCCTTTCACCCAAACGATGGAGAGTGTCAGCATTCTCTTTGATCAATCCAGTTTCATTGATATAATAGCAGCATTCTTCTTTTAGGAACACACAGGTTCCTCCTTTATCTGCTGTCAAAAGATTTAGAGCTCTATGGTTCTGCAATGAGACTTGGGCAAGAGATGTTATTTGCCTTTGTAGGGAAGCGAGATAAGCGGCTGATGCCTCTACTGCTTCCCAAAGTTGTTGTTCAAGCTTCTGAGTAGCGGTTACTGCATAACCAAGTCCTCCTGCCCTGAGTCCAGAGGCAGCGAGGGAGGAGGCCAGGGAGAGTCCAACTTCTACTGGTAGAAAGACGGCCTTTCTTGTCCTGGAAAGGGAGGTGGTGACAAGCCATGTTAATTCAGCCTCACTGTACAGAGTCAATTGGGGGACCAAGGTGGAAGGGACACAAAAAGCAAATGGCATGTTGAGGCTTAGATTTTTTGTTAGGGTACCATTGCACCTATTACTAATATAGGAGTGAGAATGGGAGTCAGCCATGCAATGAGGGTTGAGTTTAGCCAGCCTGGCCAAGGGTCGTTGGATGGTTGCAGTTTAAGCCTTTCACCCAAACGACGGAGGGTGTCAACATTCTCTTCGAACAATTCAGTTTCATTGATATAGTAGCAGCATTCTTCTTTTAGGAACACACAGGTTCCTCCTTTGTCTGTCATCAGAAGATCTAGAGCTCCATGGTTCTGCAATGAGACTTGGGCAAGAGATGTTATTTGTCTTTGTAGGGAAGCGAGATAAGCAGCTGATGCCTCTACTGCTTCCCAAAGTTGTTGTTCAAGCTTCTGAGTAGCGGTTACTGCATAACCAAGTCCTCCTGCCCCAAGTCCAGAGGCAGCAAGGGAGGAGGCCAGGGAGAGTCCAACTACCACTGGCAGAAAGACGGCCCTTCTTGTCCTGGAAAGGGAGGTGGTGACAAGCCATGTTAATTCAGCCTCACTGTACAGAGTTAATTGGGGGACCAAGGTGGAAGGAACACAAAAAGCAAACGGCATGTTGAGGCTTAGATTTTTTGTTAGGGTACCATTGCACCAGAAAAAGAACTCAGGTGGAGCAAAGGTTAAGGAAGAAATTTGAACAATCTGATCACAGGGTGCAGAACCTGAGGAAGTGTAGCAGCAAGAGAAGTTCCCTGATGAGTTACGAAAAAGAGGTACTTCCTCAAAGGCTGGAGGGGGGTCCTTGGGGTCTAATTGAGGTATTGAGTGGAAAACCAATGGGAATCGCAGTTAATGGAGTACGATCCAAACCTGCGCAGAGGAAACAGTCTGAAATGTTATTCACTTTGGACAAATTGAGAAGCTGAAGGCCTGACGTATTAGGGCCACCTATGAGAAAGGGTCAGCTTTAGGATGGGCAACTGCATCCAGCTGGTGTTGGAGTTCCTTCTCTTGCTCCTGGATGGTTATGTGAATTTGAGGGAGCATTTTGTATATAAGTTCTTCATATTCTGATAGAGGCTGAGGGGTGTTTGGCAAAACCCCACGAATAGGATTTACCATCAACACCAGAAGCCCATTTTGGGCTCCATGGGTCCCAAATAGTCAATTTGGTGTATGCAAGATTCTCATAGCAAGGCTTATCTAGAAAGCGTTTTTTTCATGAATTATAAGGGCACCCGCCATAGGTGTCAGGCCAGTGCTTACAGAATTCTTCAGTTTGGTCTGATATGAAGCATAGCATTGCTGAATATAAGTGGGATGAGGTGGCCTGGTTGAATCCAGTAACATTAAGGGTGACGGCCCAATTACAGCCAGTGAAAGGGCAATCGCCTTGGCCCATAAACTGAGAGCGGGTGGTGCCAWCCTGTTGCCATGTCGCTTGGATGTAGAAGCRCCATCTGTGGGTTGGGATAGAAGCTTKAGAGAGATTAATGATTAGTAAAAGAAGGAGAGGGTTGGCAAGAAACTTCCAGTTTGGTGGGCCCCAGCATGGAAGTATGACTGTATGGGGTCGTTGGGAGATGTGGAGCCTCCAAGTAATGTTGAGGCCTTTGGAGACTAGTTGAACAACCTGAGAAGTGAAGGCCGGACCATTATCTGACTGGATGGAGGTAGGAAGTCCAAATCTGGAAATGATCTGCTCAATGAGGATGGAGGGGACGGTGTTAGCAGTTTTCCTTGAGGTAGGGAAACTGTAAGAGAGTGCTATCCCCAAACCACAAACAGTTAAATCCTGTGTCAAGGCCTAACCAAAGAGGTAGGGACTGTCCCTGAAGCCTTGGGGTAGGCCTGTCCATGTCAGCTGTTGAGACCTAAAGGATATAGGGTCTTCCCGTGTGAAGGCAAAGAGGTAATAAGAGTCAGGACGCAGAGGCACTGTAAAGAAGGCAGCTTTAAGATCCACGATAGTAAAGTGAGTGGTCMAAGGGGGGATATGAGAAAGAAAAGCGTGAGGGTTGGAAACCACCGGGTGGATGGGAATAWTGGCCTCGTTAATTAGGTGGAGTTCCTAGACTAAGTGATAGGTGCCTGAGGGTTTGCGTACCAGAAATATGGGAGTGTTGCGGGGGAGTCTTAGGGACTCAAGGAAATTTAGTTTGGGGTTTCAGCTGGGTTGGGACTGGCTTGTGGTGGGAGGCTATGACCAGCATAGAGATGTCCTAGATCTGGGGACAACTAGGTCAGGTCATTAGAGAGGGTAAGAATTAGAGGCAGAAGGAGATGGRTGGTAGTATTCTTGGGGTATAGTTGGAGGGTGGCTCCTAGAAATTGGAAAACATCTCTGCCTAGGAGAGGAACTAGACAGGATGGAATAACCAGAAAAGAGTGTGTGAAAGGGTGTCCCTCCAGGGCACAGGCCAGCTTAGCAGTTCGGTTTGGGGAGGAGGCTTTGTCATCAATCCCCATAACTGAGACCTGGGAATGAAACAGAGGCCTAGAGTGGGCAGGCAAAACAGAATAGGTAGCCCCCGTGTCCACAAGGAGAGGAAGCTTAGGGACTTACCCATTGCATGGAGCATTACCCTGGGCTCAGAGAGGGTGATGGGGGTCTTTGAATCTGGGCTTCTTCAGTCTTATGCAAATCCCAATAGTTCAAGAGAAGGGACTGCCTGACTGGTCAAACTCCTGCATAGAGGCGCCTAGGAAGGGCCAGCCATGGAGCAATCTTCCAATGTCCTGTCTGCTTACAGGTGGGGCATAGCCTGGGAGGAGGCCATGTGTTTGGGCATTAGCGAGCCCAGTGACCTTTGCATCCACATTTGAGGCAAGCTCCTGGCAGAGAGGAATGCTGGTTTCCCCTGCGAAGCTTTTGCTAGAGACATAGGCCTCAGGGCCGCTGCCAAGGCCTGGGTTTGGGGTGTTACCTTTTTCTGCAATGGAGCCTGCTTTAAAGGCCATTTTCACCAGATCTCAGATAGGGGTCTGAGGGYCCTCCTCAGCTCATTTGAGCTTTTTCTAATATCATGAGCCGACTGAGTAATGAAATGGGTTATTAACACTGTAGTCCAGGTGGGAGACTCAAGATCCAGCCTAGTGTATTTGGTTAGGGCCTCTGTAAGGCAGTTGAGAAATAAGGATGGATTTTCATCTGGATTCTGGGAAAGATCCTGAAGTAAGAATGGGATGTGTATTCGAATATTCCCTTCAGCAGCAGCCATTTCCTTGAGAAGACAAAGGAGCTATGGGTTAGCTGGWGGGAGGGCCTGGTGGGACTGGGTGCCGGAACTGACAGGAGAAGAGAGGCATGAGTCGGGGAAGGGGAAAGGGCTTGTCAGTAGAAGAGGTGAGCATAGCAGAGGAGGAGGCTCAGAGGGATCCAGAGATCCCACCCATTGCAGCCAGGTGGGATCCATCCTACCTGCCCATTGGAACCAGGCGGCAAAGGGAGGCGTGCGAGAGGAGCCAGCGAGGGAGGGAGAAAGGGCGCATGTGTCTGGTGGCCAGGCAGACTGGAAGCACGCAGACAGGGCCACGGCAGCGGCAGGGAGGGGGAGGGGACATGGTACCGCTGGGAGGGAGAGCAGACAGAAGGACAGGAGCAAAAAGCAGAGAGAAGGTTGGGAGCGGAAAGCAGAGGGAAGGATAGGAGCGAATCTGGCGACAGAAATTGTCCAATTCAGTGAGGGTTTAAAATCAACAGTTCCTTCTGGGGGCCATTGTGACCAATTGTATAACTGCAGTAAAATACCAGGCAGTTCTTGAATGAGCCCTAACTTGGCAGGATTTGAATATAGACACCCAAGGACTTTGGGGTCTAAGGAGAGGACTCTSTGTTTCCCATGACCTTCTGGCATCCTCGGGGGTGAGTGGGAGCAGAAGAAGGCATCCCAAATTCTGTCTGCACTCACCTACGGAACAGATACGGCCAGGGCAGAGGTTGAGGYGTTCCCTATAGCCTCCGCAGGCCTCAGCGGTTGGCCAACCTGGTTGGGTGGGCGGTTCTCAGGAGGACTGGGATGTCTCCACATTCCCCGGAGCCCTGAGCAGAACGGGAAGGGCCTATGGCATGCGTGACTTAAGGATAGACCCCGCGGACAGACAGAAAGAAAGGGTTTGGAAGGTCAGGAGAAATGGGAACTTACCCCTCTCCTGTCGGCCTGGATAAAGGGAGAGGGAAAGAGCTGCTTAGAAATTTCCCGGTTCGTTTTAAGRGGGAAGGGATGGGTTTCAATCCCCTGAGGGAGAAGCCCAAAGATCCCTTCGGGTTTCGGCACCAAGATGTCAGATCGGGTGAGGCGGGCAGCAACCAAAGGAGGCAGATTTAAAAGGGCTGCTGAACTAGGCTTTATTGAGATATCACTCCTGGGTGGAACTCGATCAGACCCACAGAGGGGACAGGGGAAGGGTCTGAGGAGAAACTGCGTGGAAGCTCTACAGGACTGGACTTTTATGGGGCTTACAGCAGGAAGGGAAGGGCTTGGGACAGGAAAAGGTGTTTYTAGGGTCCCTTGCCCCYTTGGAKTTGGTCAGGGGAGTTGGCTGAACTCCAGGATTGGCCAGGGGGTCCTGCTGATTGACAGGCATTAGTCAGGAGATCTGGCTGATTGACAGGCATTTCCTCAGGCATCTGATTGATGTTCCTTTCCCGYGCGGGCTGCTTTGTTCTAAGTCACCACTAAGTCGCCACCAAGTCGCCAAGTTGCCACCACCAACCTAACAGAGGTTGGATGGAAGTTGAGACTGGGGTATCACAGGGGTCCATCCAGAGGAGAGGAGATCTGAACCAGGGCAGCAGCAGAGAGGAATGGATGGTAGCCTTGACACCACGGGGCAAGAGCCCCCTCTTGGCTGTGGAATCCAGAGCAGCACCCGCACCCCCCACCCCTAGTCCCAGGAGAGGAGAGTTCATCCCCTGAGGGATTATGGGCTAGTGGGGGGAACAGTCTTTACACCCGGCAATCCCTGTTCTCTTCCAGCTCTGGGGCGCTGCTTTCCATTGCCCAATAGTAACTTTACACTACCTGAATTCCCCTGGATCAGCAACACCACCATTACTCAGGGAATCAGGTAGGCATCGCTCACCCCACCCGCATCTATCCCACACCACTTCAAGCCCGCAGCCCCATCTGATTTGGTCTCTCCCCAACAGTGGTCTTCTTGACAGCCTCAATGCCCGTGACATCACTGTTAAGATCTTTGAAGATTTTGCCCAATCCTGGTATTGGATTCTTGTGTGAGTCACCACACTCTCCTCCTCTCTTGTYCTTCCCTTCTCCCCTCCCTGATTCTCTGCCTGCTAGTCCCATGTCAGAAACAGGGAAGAGAGAAGAGAAGGAGCCAGAGCTCAGAATAGACTCCATGCGCATCAGGATTTATAAGGGGGTCAAATCTGGGGACATTGGATGGCATAAGGAAAGGTATTTGGAAACCTCTGAAAGGAAAACAATTTCAGGAGCCAGAAGTGACCCTCACCTATGTTACTATGCCTACAGTGCCCTAGGTGTGGCTCTGATCCTGAGCCTGCTATTTATCCTGCTTCTGCGTCTGGTGGCTGGGCCCCTAGTGCTGGTGCTGATCCTAGGGGTACTTGGAGTGCTGGCCTATGGCATCTACCACTGCTGGGAGGAGTACCGAGTGCTGCGGGACAAGGGCGCCTCTATCTCCCAGCTGGGTTTCACCACCAACCTCAGTGCCTACCAGAGTGTGAAGGAGACCTGGCTGGCTGCTGGTAAGTACCCTACCCGCTCTCCAGCTGCCATCCATCAGAGCCTGGCCCTGGGCCATGCTGGCCCTGGCCTGACCCTAGCCCTATGCCCACTGTCTCCCCCATCCCCCGCAGTGATTGTGCTGGCTGTGCTTGAAGGCATCCTGCTGCTCCTGCTCATCTTCCTGCGCCAACGGATTCGCATCGCCATTGCCCTCCTGAAGGAGGCCAGCAAGTCAGAGCCTGTCTAGGAGGGAGATGGGGCTGAGGGTTGGGGTGCAGGCCTGGGGGTGGGGATGCCAGGGAAGTGGTAGGGAGCTCCAGAGGAGAAGGGTATTAGGGCAGTRGGTAACACTGCTGGATGACAGGATCTCAGAGCCTCAGTTTCCCACCTGTAAAATAGATGAATCAGCAGTTGCTACTTAGGGGGTTGTGATAAGGATTAAATGGATTGGTGAATGCCAAGTACCTAAAACTAGCAGGCCTCTAGAAGGGTGGGAGTGGCYGTGGTGGATGGAACAGCAGGAGACCAGGCAGGGAGGAGAAGCGGCAGCTTCCTGCCAACCAGGAACCACCAAACTTGTCAAGGAGACCACACTTCGGTGTTTCTCTTTGCTTGCCCAAGTGGCTTCTGTGATTCTAGTCCCCTTTAAGGATCCCTAGAAGCAAGATATATTGCCTTCAGTTCATTCAGTGAGCACCTGATTTGTACCCACCCACACCAAGCACTGGTGCTAGGAAAGATGAAATTTCTGCCCTACTGCTGCCACCCCAGGGACACCAGGCCGACTCTGGCTGTGGCWGCTGAGGGGCCCAGGCTAGAGTCAGCCCTCTCAGAGGATGGGTGGGGCTAGGGGCAGGTTGGTGGACAGCTCTTGTCTCTCCACAGGGCTGTGGGTCAGATGATGTCAACCATGTTCTACCCACTGGTCACCTTTGTCCTCCTTGTCATTTGCATTGCCTACTGGGCCATGACTGCTCTGTATCCTTTGTCCACAGTAAAGCCTTGGGGTGCGGGGCTGAGGGGCAAAGAAGTACTTGCCCATATACTGTCAGAGAGCATTTGGCAGATGTACCCTTTTCTCTGTGCAGCAACAGCCCTGTGGCTAGACAGCACTGAGTAAGGGAGCACAGGCTGAATTCTAGCCCCCTTTGTACTGTATACAACCTGCACCAGCGCCCAGGAACAGTCCCTGAGGAGTGGCCTATGGAGGCACCATGCGACCATGCTTTCCTTGACTCCCCTCTGGATACCTGGCCACGTCTGGGCAACCCCGGTACGTATACTGGGTGTCCAATGTCAGTGCACCCGGCTGTGAGAACGTGCCAGTGAATACATCGTGTGACCCCATGGTGAGGAAAGGTGGACCATGGAGGGGGCTTCAAGAGGGCTGAGGGGACCTTAGGAACTAATTAGCCCAGATCCTCATTGGGCAGAGGTGACTAAGGCCAGAGAGGGCAGGGGGCTCTCTCAAGTTCACATAACCTACCACCACCCTCTATTCCTCATGCTGACTCACCCATTATACATAATGGAAAAGTGAGGCTGTGATAGACATCATGGCCTAAAGGTGGAAGAGGGGAGGGCTGGGTAGCAGGATATCCCTCTGCCTCGAGGGTTATTAACTACTTCACCTCACTTCAGCTCTGTCCTTCACCCTGTCCTTCTGGGTGGCTGAGAAGGTTAAGTGACATTGGATACTTAAAGTACTTGGTACAATGCCTGGCACCTGATGAGATCTTATAAGCGATGGGGTTGTTTTGTTTTGCTATTTAAGTCTATTTCCCTTGAACACTGTCCTAGGCTGTTCACAGGTGAGATTCTTGGAAGTGGGCCTGGAAGAGAAGCTACTTCCTTAAACTATCCTGTGAGATTCTAGGGCATGGCACTACACTGCTGGGAATTTACTATCCTCAAAGCTTTCACRTCATAGCTGGGTGTGGTGGTGCACACCTGTAATCCCAGAGACTCCGAAAGCTGAGCCAGGAGAATCATAAATCCAGGCCAGCCTAGGCAAATTAGTGAGACCCTGTCTCAAAATAAAGGATTTTAAAAGGAGCAAGACACAGTAGTACACACCTGTAATCCCAGCAACTCTGGAGGCTGAGGCAGGAGGATTGCAAGTTTAAGGTACTGGGCCCACTCTTTTTATTTTATTTACTTACTTACTTACTTATTTTTTGGTGCTGGGGATTGAACTACCAACTGAGCTATATCCCCAGCCCTAGGGCCCATTCTATTAAAAAAAAAAATTAAAACAGGCAGGTTCACACATGCATGTAATCCTAAGCAACCTAAGAGGCTGAGACAGGAGGACCACAAGGTCAAGGCCAGACCCAACAATTTTAAGACCCTGTCTCAAAAAAAAAATTTCTTTTAAGAAGTCCTGGAGATGTAACTCAGTGGTAGAACATCAATGGGTTCAGTCCAAAACAAGCAAAAAAAAAAAAAAACTCAGCTATACTTGCAGAAGACACACTGGGCACTGAGCACTGGGCACTGGGTATGTAAAGCCCAGAATGTCCTGGTTTCTCTTTGCAACTTGCTTACTATCTACAGTGAAAACTGACGCAAACCTGGTAACCTACAAAGTGGAAAATTGTTTTCTGGTTCTTTGCAGGTAGGGGATGTTTTTTGTTTGTTTTTTGATACTGGGGGTTGAATCCAGGGGCACTTAACAAGTGAGCCACATTACCCAGCCCTTTTTATTTTTAATTTTAAGACAAGTTCTTGATAAATTGCTTAGGGTTTCTCTAAATTGTTGAGGCTGGCCTCAAATTTTCAATCCTCCTACTCAGCCTCCCAAGTTGCTACGGTTACAGGTATATGCYACTGTACCCAGAATTATTATTATTTTTTTCTTATTACAAAATTTCAAACATAAACCCAGTTTCAGAAATTATCAAGATTTTCTTGATCACATTTGCTGGACTGATTTAGTTTTTATATATGCATTTACTTTTCATTATGGACATTTTCAAATGCATGCAAAGTAGGTTCACAGTAGAGTGGTGAATCCCTTTACCCAGAGTCCACCACCCTCAGTTTTCTGCTCTTCTTACTTTACCTATCTCACTGCCCTCATGACATTTTTTCCCCCTAACTTTTGTTTTTTGGTTGTTTAGCAGTGCAAACCTAAGGCCTTCACATGCTGGGCAAGTGCTCTACCACTTAACTACACCCCAGACCTTTAGGGAGTTTATAAATGCAAATTCTGGACATCATGTAAATATGTCAGGATAAGTTTTAAAAGCATAACTTTAGTGTGGAGGCTCACCCCTGTAATCTCAGCAACTCAGGAGGCTAAGACAGGACTGTAAATTCAAGGCCAGCCCTAGCAACTTAGTGAGACTCTGTCTCAAAATAAAAAATAAGAAGGGTTGGGGATGCGGCTCAGTGGTTAAGCACTCCTGGGTTCAATCTTGAGTACCAAATAAACAAAAAATAAAAAACATAATGAAGACTGTAGCTCAGGGCTAGAGTGTTTGCCTAGCATGCACAAGGCCCTGAATTCTATCCCCAACAATATAAAAATTTTTTTTTGTTAAAAAAGCATAACCACATCTGGGTGTAGTGGTGCATGCCTATAATCCCAGCAGCTGGGGAGGCTGAGGCAGGAGGATTGAGAGTTCAAAGCCACTCTCAGCAACTTAGTGAGGCTCTAAGCAACTCAGTGAGAACCTGTCTCTAAATAAAAATATATATTTAAAAAAATTTGTAGTTGTAGATGGACAGAATGCTTTTATTTTATTTTATTTTATTTTATTTTATTTTATTTTATTTATATGGTGCTGAGGATCGAACCCAGTCCCTCACGCATGCTAGGCAAGCGCTCTGCCGCTGAGCTATATAGCTCCAGCCCTAAAAATATTTTTTTTAATATTCTATTTTATTTTTTAGGTGTAGATGGACACAACACAATGCCTTTATTCTTACGTGGTGCTGAGGATCGAACCCGGGTCCCACCCGTGCTAGGCAAGCGCTCTACCACTGAGCCACAATCCCAGCCCCTAAAAATATTTTTTTAAAGGGCTGGGGATGTTGCTCAGTGGTTAAGCATCCTTGGGTTCAATCCCCAATACCAAAAAAAAAAAAAAAAGCATAACCACACCAGTTGTGGTAATACACACCTATAATCCCACCAATTTAAGAGGCTGAGCAGAAGGATTGCAAGGCCAGCTTCAGCAATTTAGCGAGATCCTGTCTCAAAGTAAAAAAAAGCATAACCACTGTCAATATCACACCCAACAGAATTAAAACTAATTGTTTAATATCAAAATACCCAGAATATTCAATTCACACAGATGTGGACTTCACACACACCACTAGCTTGGCCCAAGAGACCTGGATGTTCTTGGGCCAGTCCAGAGACAAGGAAGCTAATTAACACCCAAACAACAAACTGAATGCAGTCTGAGCCTGGAGATAAGATTCCTAGAAGGAACTGTCTCCCTAATTGAGGGAGGCTACTGGGAAYTGGTGGAGGTCAGGGCTATGCATTGAAGTCTCTAAAGCTGGACCTGAACCAACCTGTCCTCCTCGCCACCCCCAGGACCAGTCCATGAACTACTCCTGCCCAGGGCTGATGTGCGTCTTCCAGAGCTACGCATCCACAGGCCTAGCACAACGTTCTCTCTTCAACCTGCAAATCTATGGGGTCCTGGGGCTCTTCTGGACCCTTAATTGGGTACTGGCCCTGGGCCAGTGCGTCTTGGCTGGGGCCTTTGCCTCCTTCTACTGGGCCTTCCACAAGCCCCGGGACATCCCCACCTTCCCCCTGAGCTCCGCCTTCATACGCACACTCCGGTGAGCTAGAGGAAGGACCCTGGGAACTATGAGCAATAGAGACCCAGGAGTCCTGGGGCTGCCACTAATTTCCTAATTCCTTCTGCAGTTACCACACTGGTTCATTGGCATTTGGAGCCCTCATCTTAACCATTGTGCAGATAGCTCGAATCATCTTGGAGTATATCGACCACAAGCTGAGAGGTGAGCAGTCAAGAGCTGGGGAAGGCTGGGCTGAGCAGCTGGATCCTTGGGGAAAAGCATTGACCAAACAGGAGTTTCCCTTCTTCCCAGGAGCCCAGAACCCTATTGCCCGCTGTATCATGTGCTGCTTCAAGTGTTGCCTCTGGTGTCTGGAAAAGTTCATCAAGTTCCTGAACCGCAATGCATATATCATGGTGRGCTACCAGGGGCAAGCAACTCCTTGGTCTGGTACCCCTTGGCCTAGGCCCCCAAGCCAAATCTAAGAAAGCCCACCACATGTCACTGACCTTCCTACCCCCTCAGATTGCCATCTACGGGAAGAATTTCTGTGTCTCAGCCAAAAATGCCTTCATGCTGCTCATGAGGAACATTGTCAGGTCAGGCTGTCCTGCACTGCCATGTGGCTCCCCCTCAGGTCTCCCACCCTAGTCTGGCTTCCTAAGCACACTGCATTCAGAAGGACCCTGAACTTGGTTTAATGCTTTGTTATAGCCATTTTGAAATGGGAATAACTTTGATTTCAAACAAGTCCCTGCAAATTATGTAGTCAGCTGTTCTTCTAGGCCTCTCACCCACAACCTACCCTAATTGCTGGTACAGGGTGATTGTCCTGGATAAAGTCACAGACCTGCTGTTGTTCTTTGGGAAGCTGCTGGTGGTTGGAGGTGTTGGTAAGGACCAAGATTGGGATTTGCAGAGTGGGGGTTGGAGGCGTGCTGGGGAGCTGGAAAGGTGACCTCAGAGGAGCAGCACTGATCTTGGGAACTCTCCCACAGGGGTCCTGTCTTTCTTTTTCTTCTCTGGCCGAATTCAGGGGCTGGGTAAAGACTTCGAAAGCCCCCACCTCAACTACTACTGGCTACCCATTATGGTGAGTGACTCTCCTCTGTGACTCAACCCACAACTTCCCAAAAAATCCCAGTAGCTCCAACCAGCCTTGTGTCTTCCAGACCTCCATCRTGGGGGCCTACGTCATTGCCAGTGGCTTCTTCAGCGTTTTCAGCATGTGTGTGGACACRCTCTTCCTCTGTTTTCGTGAGTGATACCCCTAGCTACCTTCTCCCCAACCTAACAGTAACCCACTGCCAGGCTTTTTTGGAGAATTGGTGCTTCTAGAAACAGCAATGTGTGAGTTAAAGAAGCCAGAGGGAACCTCTTCTGAAATCCTAAGGCCAGGGGTTTGGGAAACAAAGGAGGGAGTGAATCCCCAGGCTGGTGGGCTCTCCCATGTGGCAGGCATGGTGGCACACACCTGTAATCCCAGCAACTCAGAAGGCTAAGGTAGAACGGCAAATTTAAGGTCAGTCTCAGCAATTTAGAGAGACCCTGACTCAAAATAAAAATTTAAAAAGGTGGGCAYGTGTCTCAGTGGTTAAGTGCCCCTAGGGGTTCAATCCCCAATACAAAAAAAAAAAAAAAATCCAGGTCAGTCTGGGAAACTTGCCTCAAAATAAAAAATAAAGGGTTGGGGTTGTGGCTCAGTGGTAGGTAGAGTGCTTGCCTCACATGAGGCACTGGGTTCAATTCCGATTCTCAGCACCACATATAAATAAATGAATAAAATAAAGGTCCATCAACAACTAAAAAAATAATAATAMGTAAAAAGGGCTGGATGATGTAGCTCAATGGTAGAACACCCTGGGTTCATTCCCCAGTGTTGGAGGACAGGGGAGTCACAAGAGAGACTTCCCAGCAGGTGGCTGTAATGAGAGGGTATTTTCATCCTACAAAGTACATCCATTTTATTAATTTTTTGTATTATTTGGTTTTTTTGTTTTTGTTTGTTTGTTTGTTTGTTTGTTTCGGGGATGATACATGCCTAAGCAATTCATGTGTGCATCTGCTGCAGATAGAATCCAGGGCCTTGTGCACATAAAGCACATGCTCTACCACTAAACTACACCCCTACCCATGCGCTTAATCTTTATGACTCTATGAAATACATTCCTGAGATTACATAACCTGCCCTATAGATCACAAAATCTGCCTGAAAAACATCAGCAGGCGGTGATACCCCCCGGGACTGGAAATCAGCGGCTAGTTTCGCAGTCCCAGCAGTCTCAGATTATTTCCCCCAGGGCATGGCCCCACCAGGGTTCACTCTAACAACGCTATGTTATGGCTAGTGGAAGACCTGGAACGGAACGATGGCTCCCTGGACCGTCCCTACTACATGTCCAAGGGCCTCCTCAAGATTCTGGGCAAGAAGAACCAGGCGCCCCCTGGCGACAAGAAGAGGAAGAAATGAGAGACCAGGCCCTGACCCAGTACTGCACCACGCCTGCACAGACGCCCAGTCACATTATRCCTTACAGACCCCGATTTTGTAGCTAAATGATTTTATTAAAAGATTGATTATTTTTTTCTCAATAACTCTGTTATTTTTATTCCCTCCAAGACCACACGGTGCCTCTCGCATCCCACCCACCGCCGGTACCTTTAAATTAGGCCCCATCCCTGTTACACCTCCCTAAACTTCAGCCAATCACAAGGTTGATACCGTGTGGGTCCGCCTTCCTCACGAGGGCCAAAAGAACTTCCCATCCGGGTCACGCGCTAACGCCCTTCATAGCGGACCAATCGGAAGGGCAAGTTCCAAGGCGCGCGGCTTGACAGAGGGGTCAGAGTGCCTGAGGACCAATTAGAATCATGGAAACGCCGCGGGGCCGCTCGGTGTGGGGCGGGTTTGGAGGAGAGGTCTGAATGTTTAAAGAGCCGGGGTCAGCTGACAGACTCGAGCCGGGGCTGATTTGTGACTAGGGTCTCCGCTGCTGTGGAGAGAGATGACAAGGGAACAACCGGACACAGAGATCCGGGGCAGACCCGGGAGACCGCGTATGCCGGGCTCCAGAGAAGGATGTGGGTTTCGGCTGTTTGCCGGGTTCTTCCAGCTGCTGTTGTCCCTGACAGTATTGGAGGCTGGGGCTAAGAATGACTTCAGTCTGGTGAGTCGCTGCTTTCCGTAGCTCCGGCCTCGACACGCGCAGGTGATCCCTACCCCATGTCCACCGGGAGGCGGTTTGCTGAGCCGCTTCTTCGCGGCGGGACTTTTCCCCCTTTCCTAGACCTTGTTCTCTCAATCCGCTTCCAGACTCTTGTCCTCTCTGGGTCTCTGTCCTCCTCATTCGAGCCTCTTCCCTTTTGGGAGTCTCCATCCTTACCTAAGGGTTCCTTCTCCACTTCCCTGTTCCGAACCATCAGCTTCACTCCAAACTCTCCTTCGGGTTACCCTTTCTTGTTCTGGTCCCCCACCCCTTTTCAGGATCCCCAATACTCTCCCTCTATTCGGAACCTGAGTTGAACCTGCCACCCACCTGTCCTAAAACCACAAGTTAAGCTTGTCTCTTTTGCCTCTTCCTCCTCCCTTGCAGGTACAACCAATAGTGACAATGGAACAGCTGTTATGGGTGAGTGGGAGGCAGATCGGCTCAGTGGACACCTTCCGCATTCCGCTCATCACAGCCACTCCTCAGGGGACTCTTCTCGCTTTTGCTGAGGCCAGAAAAAAGTCTGCATCTGATGAGGGGGCCAAGTTCATTGCTCTGCGAAGGTCCACGGACCAGGGTATAAAGATGTCTGAGTCCAAAGAGCTGGTGCTATGTTGGGTGGATTGAAAGGATCTTTTCATCCCAAGACCCCTGAGGATAGGGGAACTTGGAGGGATGAGGTCGGAGTTCCTCAGGGATGGGGGAAACCTAAGGAGGAAAAGTGCCCATAGCAGTAATTTGGGTGTTGGGATCAACAAGGAGTTGAACATTTGTCCAGTGTGAACATTTGTTTGAGCACTGGCTGTATACCAGGCATTAGTCTAGGTTCTGTGAATATAGCCATGAACAAAACCAACCTAAAATCCCTATCTTCGTAGGACTTACGTTCTATTGGCAAGAGATAGGCAATAAATAATAATTAAATAAATTTGTTTCTTATGTGGGGAAAGGTGATCAAAGCAATGGAGAAAAAAATGGGGCAAAGGCATGGTGATGAAGCCAGGCTTAGTGGTGCACCCCTGTAAACCAGTCTACTCTGGATGCTGAGGCAGGAGTTTGCAATTTTGAGGCCAGCCTGGACAACTTAGCAACACTCAGTCTCAAAATAAAAAATAAAAAGGACTGGGGATGTGGCTCAGTGGTAGAGTACCCTTGGGTTAAATCCCAGCACACCCCCACCCCCCAACACACACACACACACACACACACACACACACACACACACACACGAATGATAGAAAAGGTATGTCCAGAGCACTCACTCTGCATTTCTTCCTTTTTTTTTTTTTTTTAATAGGTAGCACATGGTCTTCCACAAAATTCATTATGGATGATGGGGAGACAGCTGATGGGCTGAACCTGGGGGCAGTGGTGAGCGATGTTGAGACAGGAGTAGTGTTTCTTTTCTACACTCTCTGTGCTCACAAGGTCCATTGTCAGGTGGCCTCCACCATGTTGATATGGAGCAAGGATGATGGCATTTCCTGGAGCCCACCCCGGAATCTCTCCCTGGATATTGGCACTGAAATGTTTGCCCCTGGACCAGGCTCTGGCATTCAGGTCTCCATCCTGGGATATGGGTGGAGGGGGCTGCCTATTGGAGAGTCTAGCTGATGACCCCAAGTGGACTTTTTCCCAAAGGGAATACCCTGTGAAATCAGATTTTTTGTCTCAGATGGGATTCTTAGGTGACAAGGTCATCCTGGGAAGAACACCCTGCCCAGGGAAGGCGGGACTTTACCTCTGGCTTCCCACTTGGAGAATAGGACTGTCCTAGTCTATGTGATACCTTTATGCAAAAGAGAAAAGGATTCCCTTCCTTATGGCAGACTTAAGTCTGTGTTAGTTCACAGCTTGGTGAATGAGCTCATTTTGGGTTTAAGCTTCCATAGCAGGGGCCCCAGTATGCACAACATATCCAGCAGTAGACCTGATGACCCAAGAAGAACTTCTCAGTTCCGTTAATCTATGCTTGTGGAATTCTGGAACTGTCAGTGAAGGACATACTGAAGGGACAAGCATGTCCTCACACCGTGAGGTAGTGAACTCCTATCCATGCCTCTGAGCCCCTGCAGAGTCCCCCTTTGTAGACACCCAGTTCTGCTTCCCACAGAAACAGCGTGAGCCTCGGAAGGGCCGGCTTATCGTGTGTGGCCATGGCACACTGGAGCGAGATGGTGTCTTCTGTCTGCTTAGTGATGACCACGGCGCTTCCTGGCGCTACGGGAGTGGGGTCAGCGGCATCCCCTATGGCCAGCCCAAGCGGGAAAATGATTTCAACCCTGATGAATGCCAGGTCAGGAGTCCATGGGAAGTTCCCCATCATTCAATCTGCCCTATCCTCCAGAGCACCATTCCCTCCACAGAGCCAAGACTGCCTGCCCAACTCTGCCACCTGAACTTASTCCCTTCAGAAACAAAGGCATTTGCCCTGCCCCCTCCCCTGGTCCTTCTGAGGCCCTGTTCTCTCCTCTTAGCCCTATGAGCTCCCAGATGGTTCAGTCATCATTAATGCCCGGAACCAGAACAACTACCACTGCCATTGCCGGATTGTCCTCCGCAGCTATGATGCCTGTGATACACTAAGGCCACGGGATGTGACCTTTGACCCTGAACTGGTGGACCCTGTGGTAGCTGCAGGAGCAATAGCTACCAACTCTGGCATTATCTTCTTCTCTAATCCAGCCCATCCAGAGTTCCGTGAGTACCTGAGGGTGGGCACAGCAGGGGGAGCACCTGCATTTAGATAAGGCCTGAAGAGCAGAGACCCTCCTCCCCCTGACTCTTTGTCACTCTCCCCAGGAGTGAACCTGACCCTGCGCTGGAGCTTCAGCAATGGTACTTCATGGCAGAAAAAGACTGTCCAGCTATGGCCAGGGCCCAGTGGCTACTCATCTTTGGCGGCCCTGGAGAGCAGTGCTGATGGAGAGGAGCAGGCCCCCCAGCTCTATGTCCTGTATGAGAAAGGCCTGAATCACTACACAGAGAGCATCTCCATGGCCAAAGTCAGTGTCTATGGGACACTCTGAGCTGTGCTCTACCCCAGGGGTAGAAGGTCCTAACTCTGCCTGCAGAACTATGGATCTAAGAGAGTCTGCTGGGAGTACCTAAAAGACAGTTCCATCTTCCTTTGGATTCTAGCCTTTTTTACAAAATCAAATTCTTTTTGACAGGGAAATCACTCCATTAGGACTAAAAGCCCAGCTTCCTCTCCCACACAGGAAGTTCTGCCCTTACCTGGGGGCACTTCTTTTATATATCGATGGGTATGGAGTCCCCTTACCCTTTCTGCCCTTCCAGGATAGTGACTGGTTCTTTTTGTGGGCAGGGCTGGGTTGGCCCATAGATTTGAACAAATGTGAACTCAGGGAACTAGGAGAAGGCTGAGCTTTCTTTTAGGGGTTGGGATAAAGAGGATTATGAAAGTCCCTAGAGGGCAAGATACTTGGTTTCAGGGTAAGGAACCAGGTGTACCCCACCCTTTGACTATTTATGAATGAAAATCTTTGTAACTTAACATTTTTAATGAAAGAAAATGAACATTTGTAGAGTGTCTGGTTTCTGTCAGTGCACATCCCCATGTACAATTATGAGACTGGGAAAGTATTTTGGGGAGGGAGCTAGTGTGCTTATTGCTTGGAAAAACCTGAATTTGGCAAATCAAACCTTCCTTTCCCTCTGACATTCCCTCTCATCATAGAAAACAGGTCCATCTTAATAGGTGCAATGAGGAGTAGGAGAGAGAACTCCATAAGATATTTTGAAACCTGCTCTGTTTCGTATTCCTAAGATGAGGTGGAATACTTTTCTCCATGAAATAGGGAGCAGGTCTATAAAATCAGATGGGAAGACTGTTCCAGGCCAGCATGATGAGAAGTAAGTACTTCCTTAACAAATTATTCGACAAAATCACACCTTTATTCTGAGGCAGATACTACAGAAAGAACAGAGCAGCCTTCTGGTGAATGGTAGAGCCTCAGCTTTACTCTATGAGGAATGAAAATACAACACCTCAATGGGATGTTAAGAGTGTTCAGAGGGGGCTGGGAGTGTAGTCAGTGGAAGACCAAACCCAGGGTTTAATTCCCAGCACCATAAATAATATTAATAATTTAAGGGGCTRGGGATGTGGCTCAAGCGGTAGCACGCTCGCCTGGCATGCGTGAGGCCCGGGTTCGATCCTCAGCACCACATACAAACAAAGATGTTGTGTCCGCCAAAAACTAAAAAATAAATGAATAAATATTTAAAAAAAAATAATAATAATAATTTAAAACAATATTAAGAGGCTGAGAACTTAGTTCAGTGGCAGAGTTGAATCTCTAGCTCTGCAAATAATAATATTAACTACTATTAAGATTTTTTTTTAATTCATAAACATTTTTAAAACAAAAGTGGAGGACAGGGGATGGAGTGGGAATAGTTCCCATGTCACAAAACTTTAAGACAAGTTCTTACTACGTTACCCAGTCATGTCTTAAACTCTTAGGATTAGGTGATCCTCCTGCGTCAGCCTCCTGAGTAGCTATGTTTATGGGCATATGCCACCATGCCTGGCCAGCGTCTAGCTTTAACAGTTATCAAGATGTTGCCACATTTGCTTCTGTGTTTCTGCTTCTTATGTTCCTATTTTCTTTTCCTTTGCTGAATATTTTAAAACAAAGCCTAGACTTCATGACATTCACCCCTACATTACTAGGTATTCATTTCATTCTTTGAAAATGAAAATTTTACTGCATAATCATAATGCCATTTCACACCCCAAAATTAACAATAACTCTGGTATTGTCTAATACCCAGAAAATATTTAAATCTCATCAAATGTCTCAAAATATGGGTTTTTTTTTTTGGGGGGGTGGGTACAGGGGATTGAACTCAGGGACACTTGACCACTGAGGCACATCCCCAGCCCTATTTTATATTTTATTTAGAGACAGGGTTTCACTGAGTTGCTTAGTGCCTCACTATTGCTGAGGTTGGCTTTGAATCCTCCTGCCTCATCCTCCTGAGCCACTGGGATTACAGGTGTGAGACACTGTGCCTAGCTGGATATTATATTTTGATGTCAAATCTTAAGTCTCTTTTAATCTACAGCAGTCTTCTTCCTCTCCTCTTTTTTCCTTATTAATTTCTTTTAAATGCCATTTAGACATACAGTTATTTCTCCTATAGAAAAATCCATTCTCAGGGCTGGGGATGTGGCTCAAGCGGTAGCGCACTCGCCTGGCATGCTTGCGGCCTGGGTTTGATCCTCAACACCACATACAAACAACAACATTGTGTCCGCCGAGAACTAAAAAAATAATAATAATAAATATTGAAAGATTCTCTCTCTCTCACTGTCTCTCTCTCTCTCACTCTTTCTTTAAAAAAAAAAATCCATTCTCTGGATTTGTGGGGGGTTTTGTTTGTTTTGTTTAGTTTTGTTATTTATTTATTTAATTATATATAGTTGTAGATGACAGCATGCCTTTATTTTATTTGTTTATTTTAATGTGGTTCTGAGGATCAAACCCAGTACCTCACATGTGTGAGACAAGTGCTCTGCCACTGAGCTACAGCCCCAGAACCCCCAGCCTTTTTTTTTTTTTTTAATATTTTATTTAGAGACAGGGTCTCAATGAGTTGCTTAGGACCTCACTAAATTGCTGAGGCTGGCTTTGAACTCAAGTTCCTCCTGCCTTAGCCTCCCAAATTCTGGGATTACAGGCATGTGCCACTGCACCTGGCTAATTTGTCTTTTTTACTTCTTCCACTGCCCTCTGTATTTCCAATTATTAAACCTTCAAAGATTTGGTTGGATTCAGATTCTATTTTAGAGGAGCAAGATGACTTTCCGAGTACTGTGTGCTTCCTACTGTACCCCATGGGACATTCACTCTCTGTTTGTCCCTCTCTGAATAAACTGAGATGGAACAGTGGATTCAGATGTCCATTGCCTGATCCCCTCCCTTGTAAGTTTCCACCATCAACGTTCTAACTATCAGTTTCATCCACAGATGAGTGTTGCCTAATTCAGTTATTTCAAAAGGAGTTGCAAAATGGTGATTTTAAAATTCTGTTGTTTCTTCCTCATTTATTAGCTGAATTTTCAGCAAAAAAAGGAGCTTTCTCTCATCAAATGCATTGGTTCCTATAATACAGTTTGTATAGGAAAGGCAGGATACATGCAAAAGTTTACCCTTAAATTACCATTCTCAAGGTAAAGTGATGTAATACATTGACTTGTTCGGTAAACCACAGTTACCCAACAGGACACACACACACACACACAGGCCTATCTATGGGCCTGTAAGAAGTAGGGAGAGAATCTGAGGGAATATGAATGGGAGATCAACATACCTAAGATGGAGTACCATAGATGTTTAATACCACTAAAAGTGGTATTTTTTAAAAAACTACTTTTAATTTGAAACAGGGTCTCACTAAGTTGCTGAGGCTCAAACTTGTGATTTTCCTGTCTCAGCTTCTGGAGTCACTGAGATTACAAGTGTGTGCCACTGAGACCAGCTGATATGTTTTTTAAAAATACATTTCTTGTGGGCATGGTGGCAAATGCTTATAATCTCAGCCACTTAGGAAGCTGAAGCAGGAGGATTGTGAGTTCAAAGCCAGCCTCAGCAAAAGTGAGGCGCTAAGCAATTCAGTGAGACCTTGTCTCTAAATCAAATACAAAACAGGGCTGGGGGGCTGGGGATGTGGCTCAAGCGGTGGCGCCCTCGCCTGGCATTCGTGCGGCCTGGGTTGAATCCTCAGCACCACATACAAACAAAGATGTTGTGTCCGCCAAAAAACTAAAAGGTAAATATTAAAAATTCTGTCTGTCTGTCTCTCTCTCTCTCACCTCTCTCTTTGAAAAAAAAAAAAAAAAAACAGGGCTGGGGATGTGGCTTAGTGATCAAATGCTCCGAGTTCAATCCCTGGTACAAAAACAAATATATATATATATATATTTCTTGTACCAACTACTTGTGAGGCTGAGGCAAGAGGATTGAGACTTACTTCAGGGACAGCCTGGGCAACATTACATGACCCATTACAAACAATAGAAACCCATGCCTTTTTTTTTTTTCTCCCCTTAAAACTTTTCTTTCTTTCTTTCTTTCTTCCTTTCTTTCTTTTTCTTTCTTTCTTTCTTTCTTATTTTAATTGTTGATAGACCTTTATTTATTTATTTGTGGTGCTAAGAATTGAACCCAGTGCCTTACACGTGCCAGGCAAGCACGCTGCTGCTGAGCCACAATTCCAGCCCCGCCCTTTTTTAATATTTATTTTTTAGTTGTAGTTGGACTCAATATCTTTATTTATTTATTTTTATGTGGTGCTGAGGATCAAACCCAGGGCCTTGCATGCTAGGCGAGCGCTCTACTGCTGAGCTACAACCCCAGCCCGAAACCCATTTCTAATGCAAGGCTTAGCTGGTAGAAAAATAAGGGAAATTCTCAAAAACAATAAATAATAGAATCCAGAAAATCAGGTAAGCCCCAGGGCAGCCGGTGGCATTTGCTCTGTGGCATCAGACAAGCTGAGACGCCTATGATGGGGAACAGACATGAGCAATGGAAACATGAGGTTACAGGGAAAATTTCATAAAATGGACCAATTGGGCTGACCCTCACATGCTTTCTCTTTTAAAAAGCAATTTACCAATTTGGATGTGGTGGTRCATGTCTATAATCCCAGTAGCTCACAAAGTTGAGGTCAGCCCAACTATTTAGTGAGGCCCCAAAAACTTGAATGACATCCTGTCTTAAAAAATAAAAAGAGGTGGGATGTAGCTCAGTGGTAAAGTGCCTCTGTGTTAAATCCCCAGTACTGTTATAGTTAAATCTTTGTCCCAGGGTTTCATAAACTGACTTCCAAACCACTCACATATAATTGAATCAAGCCTTTATTGAAGCACACCAGTGTCAACTGACCAGAACATAAAGCTGTTCCCCTGATCRGCCCCGAACAATTGCAAGGGTGATCCTTATAAGCCTGAAAACCGCAAAAGGGATGTTCAGGGGTCTAGCCAATGCAAGCAAGCCAGGTTACAGAAGCAGGAGAGTGCAGTCAAGCAGCGGGAAGCCTAACCAATCACAGTTAGCCAAATCACCCCAGTTACAGAAACAGAGTCCTGTTACCCTAGTTACAGAAACAATGCCCCATTAGGTAGTTCCATGTTCTTAAAGGTTTATATAACAAAAGGAAAAGAACATCTTGCCCCGGTCATGACACTTGTACTTGGCATGGTTGTTTTACAGAATGGAGTCACAAAACAAAATGGAGACACATTTGCTTTTACTATCAATACCAAAAAAAAAAAAAAATTACCTGCAGCCATATCTGACTTATGTTGACAAGATAGATTACATTCCTCAATAAACTACCTATGTCTGAAGGAGAAATGAAGGCCCCAAGTTCCAATAAGAAAAACAAAAGTTACCCTAAAGGGGTAGACCAGATTCCATAGACCAAATTCCAGAACTTGGGGAGAGGCGGGTAATTCCCCCTAACCATAAAATCCATAAGAACAGGTTTCACTTTGTCAGCATGGRCCAAAGTGACCTAGAGTTGTCATGGCAGTGGGGACTTGAGAGACTGATGTCATCCTGATGTCAGTGAAAAGTCAAGAAGTGGGGCTGGGGTTGTAGCTCAGTGGTAGAGCACTTGCCTCTCAAGCATGAGGTACTGGGTTTGATCCTCAGCACCACATAAAAAATAAATAAATAAATCAAAAGAAAGATATTGTGTCCATCTACAACTAAAAATTAAAATAAAATAAAAATTCAAGTGGAACTGGGTGGGACTCTCTAGAAACTTTCCTGGTGCCCCCAGTAAAAGGGAAGGTCAGGAGAGGCATGCCATCCTTCCTCTCTTTGAGATGACCCACTCTCTTCCTTGAGAGTGTCCCCCTTTCCCCTTTCCAGTCCCTTCTGATAAACTTATGCCTGTTACTCTGAATGATGTCTGAAATCTTTCTGGCATACTTACAATAATCCGGATTCAAAGAGGGGCCTTTGTACTGCCTCAGTTTCACAGAATGCCCAGCTCTGAGGCTGCTAGGTCAGAGTTCCAGTAGATCACATTTGCAGTCATGTCACAGAGCCAGGGGCCTGAGATAAGTTTGAAGATAAA